CACCCTCTCTAAGTGCACATTTTTAAAATTTTTCACTATACCCCCGAGGGGGGTGCATTTAGAGAGGTCTCTCTGTAATAGATTTAATCTGAAACTTTATTGCATGGGTATTATACAACAACCCATGCTTTTGGCTTATTTATTGCACATGTTTAAAAATCACTAAACCGACACATATTTAATCAAAGAGTGCTATTTTATGAATTATCCATGACGTAATTTATACATCAAAATTTTAACTTGGTAATCCAAAAAATTTTGGTATTAACGAACGGACGGTCGTGGTTTCGTTAGCAGAATTTTGCATAATTTTGGCCTGAATGTGCCACGGTACTTTGGGGCATTCTGATGACTATTCCTGTTTTATTAACTAAATCGTATCAACTCTTTATATTTATTAAAAAGTGTGCCGGTTCAGTTATTTCATTTTTATTATCTACTTGTATATTTAGGTCTTCACTTGTTTTTAACGTTGTAATTAGATAATTATATGTTATCATATTATTAGGTCTTCCTTTTTTTAAAAAAAAACTTCCCAATAAAACGAGATCATGATATTAGGCTTTCGCTTCCTTAAAATTATGATTTGACGGGTCACGATATTGTTATGTCACTGAATAAGGATGGCATTATTTTAATCATCATTTTCTTTAAAATTACAATTTGATGGGGTCACAATATTATTAGGCCGTTCTTTAAAATTCTCGTTTTCTTTAAAATTCTCATTTTCTTTAAATTTCTCATTTTCTTTAAAATTCTCATTTTCTTTAAAATTCTCATTTTCTTTAAGATTCTCATTTTCTTTAAGATTCTCATTTTCTTTAAAATTCTCAATAAACAATATTATCCGGCAGCTTACTATGATGGTGCTTGTCAAATAACTATATATTATGACATTTTATTAAGGTTTCGCTTTCTTTAAAGTTTCATTGGATGAGATCACGATTAGGTCTTCGTTTTTTTAAAAAATTTTCAATGAACAAATCGTAAAATTATTAGGCCTTCATTTTTTTTAAAAAATTCTCAATAAACAAGTAGCGACATTAATAGGTCTTCGTTTATTTAAAATTTTCCGCTTTCTTATTCTTGTTGAATGGGTCGCATATTAATAAATCTTCG